CCCTCGAACTAATCACTCACCGGTCTGTCTGGGAAATTCATCTCCTCCGCGTCGCCTCCAATCGCGTTCCTCGCCAGTGCCCACTACGAGCAAGTCAAAAGGACAAGGTCGGAAAGTCAGATGGGGGTGGACTGGGCCCGGCTCTGGGTCGGGTGCTCTGTCGTCGCTTCGTTGCGATAATTAATTCCGCATGGATGACTTGTCGCTCTTCCTGGTTTGTCCGACTGGTCCGTCGGTCGCTGCTTATTAAATGGGTCGGACGACCAGGTATGCTTGCTTGCTTTTCTCTTCAGCAGTTGCCCCGGCTGGCACTAATTGAGATAACAGGAACGCTATTATTCGCTTAACTCCCGACGAAGGCGGGAAACGCCCTCAGTCGCGCCTTCTCTCGGCCGGTCTACCCGCCGACACCACTCTTGTGGCCCAGTGCCGCTGACACGGGCAAAGCTTGGCAAATAAGGGACAGGATTTTATACCTCATTCTCCATATCTGGGTACGCTTCGTTGTTTCTTGTCCACTGCGGGTCAGTGTAGTTTGGCTGGCTCTTGGTTGTCTCTACTCGCTACCTTAGCGAAGAGACGTTAAATGGTATTGAGAGAGAGAGACTGATTTGCGCGGATGCTCGGTATGTTGGAGTTCACTTGCTGTCGTACCACCGTTGTTGCGAGCATTTAAGTCTCTGTAATTTGACAATCCTCTGCTCGTCCATCTGTGCGCCCATCCACCTATCCCTATCCACGACGTGGCCCTATGATATCTTTATTTCCTTACCTGCAGGCACAGTCACCGTGCTGGTGGGTCACAAGCCGCAGAGCAGCTACCCCGAAGGTCACCGGGTAAGGCTCCCTGCCCTTCCTCCCCTCTTCCGGCCCGACTACCCAGGGCCGAACTCAGCGGCTCCACGGCTTCTAACAGTCCGAAGGCTGCCCTCACGCAGCTCGGGGCTGTCCGGCCCTGGCTGTCCGCAACCCAGATCGCCCTTTCCTCCAGCTCCAGCACGCCGCATGCGGCCAGTGACACTCAAACGTGCCCTTCCGTCCGGCTATGTGTATGTATGTATGATGTGTGGGACAGGGGGATCATATCTTCACCCTGCGGCCGCTACCCGGCAGACCCTGCCTTCCCCGGTATTCGGTCACCCTCGTCTAGTCACCCTAGTCAACTTCTCAGTTGATTGCTCAGGTTCCACACCCACTACCGGCATCCAACGGAATCTGCCGGATCGTCGGCGGCTCAACACCATTCCCGGTCAGCTCGCAAGATCACATATGTATGAATGTATGTGACAGTTAGGGTACTTGGTTCCTGTTGCGCCGCTGTCGTTTAGTGGCCTCTTGGCATGGTCTATTTATTTGCTCTATCGATGTACGCCAGCGTGGGATGGTACCAGCAAACCCCCCGGCCCCTGCTACCAATCCTCGGCGGTAACTGCGGCACCCTCTTACTCCTTGACGCTGCGTACATACATACAGCATCTTCGGCGGCCAGTGGAGCAGCGGCTGGGTCAATACGACCGCTGCGAATCAGAGCGTGCGGCTCAAGATTAATATCCTGGAGGACAACACGTATGAAATCGGCGAGTGGAAGAGGGCGGTGATGCCCCTGCCCCGTGTCAGCGGCTCGGCTGTCCTGCTGCCCAACGGCCAGGTCCTGCTAATCAACGGCGCGAAGGTGAGTCTCCCGGGGTAAACCTTCCGGACCAAGGGCACTCTGTATGGGTGTTTCCTTTTTGCGAAAGCGTAACCTCCTGACGCTGGGTGCTTCCCTTAAGTGCACCGGGCGCTTCGGCGGGCATTAAACTTAGCCCCTGGCAATGTCCCGCAGTGACAACGAACTACGCTGAGCGCACCGCAAAGCAGTTACCCCACTGCCGCGTCGCCCTCCTCTCAGAGCCGGTTCGCCTCCCTTTCCCCAGAAAGACATGCGCCATTGCCTGCTCGCCGCGCCCCGTTTAGGAGGCTCTCCGTAGACTAATCATGACCCGGGGATGCTAATCAAGCCATGTCAAACCTCAGCGGCTGCACAGTTCGTTCGCGCTAACTTGACTCGACCGAGGTCCGCATCGTCCTCCTCGGGGTAGTTTTTTATAGCGTCTTCTTCATCGCCTTCGTCATATTCTTCAAATTCGTTCTCTTCCAGGCCTTCTCTTGCTCTGCCGCGCCACTCGTCACGCTCTGCCAGACGGATGTGCCAGTAACGCTGGGTCGTCTGCTTTCCTTCGTTATGAAAAAGGGGTCCTAAATTTGACGTGAGGAACTCCTACTTACGTCGAAATCCCAACAGACGACGTTGCGCAAATTGAATGCGCTTGCTTGCACGGTTCTTGCGTTGTCTGAAGTTAGCGCTCAGCTATTGTTTGTGACGAACACCGTATTCGTCCCTGTCCTCGGCCAGCTCTGGGCTGCGACTTCCTGCGCCGTACTTGCCGCACCGCGAGCATTAATCAAGCAGGGGTCAAGCGGCTGCACCGGGGCCGAGCCCCTTTCCAGCTTTAGAAAGCCGGCCCCCTAGTCTCTATTATCAAATAACACCGTGCCAAGGCCCCCAACGCAGCGCCTCGGTTTTCGACGTACCTTCCGGATTACTAAGTCCGAGCATGCTCGTCCATTTCATCCAACATCTAGGTGGGCAAGCCAACTATCCTCAACATAGCTTTTGACACACTCAACGGGCATATCCGTGCCTAATTATCACTCTTTCGGGGCTGCACATTTACCAAGCTTGTAGCTGTCGACTAACCCGTGCAGACAGCTGCCCTGTAGCTGCTGGGTCGCCTTGGGAGCTATACGTCTCCGGACTGCCATATGGTGGTACATAAGTGAACTTGAAGTGACCATTATAAATTCTTGGAGTTAGTCGGAGTCATTCGGAGTCATCCGGAGTCACTCGGAGTCACTTTCGAGCCATTCAGAGTCATTCCGAGTCATTAAGGTGCAGCAGGTATGTTTGTACTCTGATGAGGGGGAGCGGGGTGCCCATATATGCCCAGGTACGTAGGGAACGCTGTATACGCAACCTTGAGCTTAGTTACCAAGTTGCGCTTTGGTAGCTGAGTACAACGGCGAATATATAAGGAGGCGTCGCTCTTAGCTGCCTGCTGCTGGCCGCTTAGATCTTGATGATCTTGCAGGGGCGCATGCTTGCTTACCTTGCTGCATGCTACGTCGTCTCGGCCAAATGCCACTTCCTTCAGCGCGTTGTATACATTTCAGACATGGCGCTATAACCCTTCTCATATTAACACATGAATGGCGGCTATCGTTCCTGCTTGGTGACCTACCTTGTTAATTGTGTCGTCACGGCATGAATGTGAAAAACTGACGCGGTGCATCTGTTTGCCAGTGACTGCAATTGTTACCATTGCCGCACCCACTGGCTGCTGGACGTGCTTTTCCTTGGTTGCAGCAGGACGGTTTGCCGTTTGGTGGCCGTAAAAAACTGGCACACAGACTCCCACCTTTCTCTCCGTGCAATAAACTGCTCCATCCCTGCATGCATCCTCGCTCCTACCTCTTACCCCTCGCTCCTACCTCAACCCCTTTCCTTTGTTCACTTCTCCAAATGCAAGGACGTTGAACCTCTCCACCGCATCCCTTCCCGCCCCCTCGTTGCCATGATCATTTCGCCGTTTGACGGAATATCCTTTATTTGTCATCTGTCATCACTACTGATAACGCCCCCCAACTCTCGCTGCACTTTGCCTCCATCAACCCTCCCGCCATCCTCTGTCCTGTGCACGTCATCATCCTTCCGCTTGGCCATCACCTCACTCGATCCACCTTCTTCCACACGCTCTGGTGCTGTCTCCATAGTGCCTATACGTACTGCAAGCGAGTGAGTGATAATCGATCTATCAGAGGGGTGGGTGTGTGGGGACAGCTTCGGGGCCTCCGACATTGATGACCTGATGACCAGACTTCTGAACACACTCTTATCTGTCAGGCGGCCTATTACTCCCATGGGATGCTTCCCAGTGATACTATAACTAGTACAGGACTTATGTACGGCGTTTTTGCCACGTGTACACACTCGATGCGATTTCTAGATAGATCTACTGCTGACCAGACATCGTATTAACCAGCCAGATAGGGTTGGCACCACACACGTGTATGTATGTGGGCAAGCTTCTACCTGAACGCCCATGCATGTATACATCCTGCCTGCATTCTTGTCGTGAAACCTATCTATTCACATCACGTCTCATCACCACAGCTACGTATTATCAGCCTTTCATTGGCTCTTCTCGGCTCTTCCCATGTGCAGGCTCTTCCCTCATTCCATATAAAACCATAGAACATGACTCCTCGGAGACGAACAGCAGCAGCATCTGTTCTTTGCTCCTTGCTTTATTTCGTGTTTGTGACCAAAGGAGTTACTGGTAGCGCGCAACATCGGCATGATGAGGAAAACACCTTGCTGTTGCAAACGGAAACAAGTCCACCACCAACACGGTAAGTGTGGAGTGAGATGTAGGAGTGCGCCGCATGCATACATACATTGCAGGTTGCTGGCAGACGTACGAGTGAGCCGCATGCATACATACATACATACATACATACTAGGGTTTGGCACTACTGGTAACGCGCGACCATTGCCCCCGGGAGATCTCGGGATCGATACCCGTTAGGGTCAAAAATCTTTCCGATGGTGGAAGGTAATGCGTCCCTAGTTGATGGACGATGGTGACCTGGGATAAAGTAAACCTGCGAGCCGACTAGGAATGGAGTTGGGCCGCTGTCGACCTGGCAGATTCCGTTGGATGCTGGTGGTGGGTGCGGAACCTGAGCGATCCACTGAGAAGTTGACTAGGGGGACTGGATGAGGGTGCCCCGAAATACCGGTGAAAGCAGGGTTTCGCAGGGTAGATGCCACGGGCGAAGATATACCGCCCTGTTTCACACATCATACAGACAGGTGGCTGGCAGAAGTTAAGGCCTGACTTCTGCTCCCGGAGGATCCGGGTTCAAATCCGCCTGCTGACCCCTCGCTGTGTGAGGGGTCTTGAATCGGGAGGTGGCCCCCCATCTTATGGACGGTGTAGGACGTGATTATATCAACTTGCGAGCTGACCAGGAACTTAGCTGTAGCGCCGTTGATCCGTTAGATTTGGTTGGATGCTGGTGGTGAGTTGCTGAACCCAACGAATACAATCTGAGTCGGATGGGGTGAGTGGATTCGGGTGCCCCCCTAGCAGGGGAGAGCAGGGAACTGCCTCGGGAAAGGGGGGGCCGCTGGTGACCCTGTAACATCATACATGCATGGCGACCATCAACATTCAGTGATGACATGCAAGAATGCCCGTTCCGTGATGGAACGCCAATGCGCGTACTATGATTGTATTTTGCGTATGCAAATACACACGTGTATGAGGACATATGTATCCTTTGATTGATATATATGTAGGGCTTCAGTGCTCTTGAGAGCCTTGCCTCTTATCCATCGATGGGTAAGATGGATGGATGGATAAGATGGATGGATAATCATCCACATATCCATCCACCGACATTGTAGTAATTCTGCTGACATATCACAACGGATATCGTACAGCAGGTTGTCTGAGCTGTTTCCAAGGGGCGTGTGTGTGAGAGGCAGGAGGGGCCCAGTTGCTTTACTTGGCACATTCGGATGTGTGCGCCTATAATGCACATTACATGGATAATAGAGTAATACAGCGACCTGTCTAGCGGCTGAAGAAGACAGGTTGGAGAACGACGAAACGAGCCCCTGATGGTGGAGCTTTATAGGTATATGCATAGGTATATATGGACCTCATTTGCACCAGTATTGATAGAGCTCATCGGCTGCTTGTGCACGCAGGACATCGACATCGACCGGCCGCGGCCTTCGCACCCTTACTGCGCTTTCAAACCCAGGTAGTGCGTTGTTGTGACCTAAGTCACAGGTCCAACTGCTAGGTGTAGTAGCTGGCCGCTGAAAAGGGCCTGTACTGTGTACCAGCTACTACACTAGGGGCCAGTCAAAACTGCCGATTGAAGGAAGTCAATACGCTTATAATAAGCACAGGCCTTAGAGCCCACAGTGGTATGGCGGTCAGTGGGCCAACCGAAAGCCGTTACTCCACTGAGCCTCATTCGGAGACAATCTGCAGAGCTAGTGCTCCAGCCATGTGCAAAGCCACATAGCCCCATTAAGTGTCAGCCCTGCAGACGGTGTTGGCGTTATGTAACAGTCAGGTGGCACTTGTTAAGTGGCAGTGAACAAGCAAAGCACTTCATCGGTTTTAAGGCTCTGTAAACGGATAAGTTGTTGTTCGTAACTGGTCACGTCTAGGCATGACATGTGTGCTTTTTCGCTGTGCTGTCCTGCATGTGTACGTGTGTGTGTGTTTGTGCATGCGTGCATGTTTTATGTCTCATTATTCCAAGGCTAGATAGGTGTTTGTTGTATGAATGTAGCCTGACGAAGCCACGTGTCGAAACCGCTAGGCCTAGGGGTAGACAGGTAGAAGTTTGTTCAGTGTGTGTTGATGATTAAGCCTTAAGCCTTTACATTTACACCGACCCTACATCTGAAGTTCAACTTCAGATGAAGTTCATCTAACTGCTGGGTAACCGAAAACCACTCTCATGAAGTTAGAAATTTACGGCCTCCACGCATGTATGTTTCGATGATAGTCGCCCACCAATGGTCAACCCCCACCCTGCCTGTCTATTTGCTCACCCTTCAGCAATACCGCCATCTTCACCATCACCGCCCCGTCCACCGAGTTTACCATCGCCGCCTCCACCTTTTCCAACACCTGTGTCATTCCCCCTACCTATCGGTAAGTCATCCAAGCACATCATCAGTGGTGCACCCGTCCTGCCTGGGACAAGTTGTGTTGGCTTCCTCGAAGCCGGGAAAAGGGCGGGGTCCCCCTACATACCTTCATACAGGCCAGTCCCCCTGCATTCGTCCGTACATACAGGCCAGTCCTCCTGCATCTATGTGTACAGGCCGGTTCGTTACTAATAAGCACATGCACGAGTTGCTTAGTAGTTTAAACAACCAAGCAACCCATCCAGCTATGCCTGTACGTAGCGGATCACCCAGAAATTGGCTGGGTGGTCTGCTACATACAGGTGAGATGCCATATAACTTAGAGTATATGTTCGTTGTTCGTTGGTTACAAAGGGCCTGATGAGCCTCGATCAGCAGCCTCTTAACCATATTCATAATTAGCCTGCCAAAGTACTAATGTACAAGCGATTGTGAGTCGAGCACATACGATTGGATGTCTCTATGTACAATATATTGTAACGGCAGGACAGGCTTTGGCCAGGCATCGTCAGCATCACTGGTCAGTCCCAGTTCGTTAGACGGATGGTTGAACTGATACACCGATACACTGTCACTGCACCTCCGAACTAACGCAGGTGGATCACGCGGGTTAAACTGAGATCTAGTAATCTCTCGCATTAATCGAATCAGTGGGGATTACAAGCAGCTCAGACTGGATTGGGTGTGATGTCGCTTGAGGGTGAGGGCGCGAGGTTAGACGTGTGTAACAGCCGGCTGGGTTTCTCAGACATAGAATGGCTGTACACCTGTATGTTGTGGAGCAATGGTTTGACAAGGTCTGCTTGGGACGACGTGATGACTCAGGTTTGTTAGACCACAGCGGAGTGCTACACGACTGCGGGGAACTCTCCCAGCCAACCAATAGTAGTCGAACCCCCTACCTGCACTCTTAACATGGCCATCGAATCCACACTGGCACTTTGTCCGGGCAGGATCCTATGCCGCGTCCCCAATATTCCCGCTGCCAAGCGGGCACCGCCGCCTCTCCTTGCAGTGATACCACCCAGGGTCACCACAGTAGAGCAGAGTAGCACATTCTGACAACCACGGATACGCACTGTGAAATATATTTCAGCAGGCCTTGTTTGCTTACATCTCTCAACATTAAATCAAATCAGTACGTACACTGACCTCACCAGGGCTTTGTTTCCTGTGGTGGTCTGTCTCGCATGCATGTTCTGCACATGCCATGCACTGCAGGCGCCATTTTCCACCCAGCCACAGGACGCGTTATCACACGGGCCAGCCCCAACAGTGTCGACCTCGTCGCCCAGGAGGCCTCGCGGATCGACCCCTCGTCCATATCGCTGTGGGACATTGAGGTGCTGAACAAGCAGGAGGCCCTGCATGCTGTGCACCTAGTCGGGGCCGCGATTTATTGCTGGAACGTGTATTGGAACTTGATGACCAGTGGAGCGAAAGTAAGTGCTGGTTCGACTTCGATGGATTGGTTGTCACAGTCACGTAAAAACGAATGATTGTGTGAAGTCAGATAAGTCAGATCATCTATGCTAACCGCGCCCCGATGCTTGGCTACCCAGCCGCGATGGAAAGTCCGCCCAAGCAAGGATTCTGTTCTCCCAAGGAACCGGGTGAGAGGGGTCACAATCCCCTCGACGTACACAGAGCCACGTGCATTCGTTGCACTTCTAATATACGGCGAAGCAGACGCACGTACAGCAGTCAATCCCAAATAAATGACCAAGGAGGCTATCTACAGCCTGCAGCCGCGGTTTACAGCTGCTCCCTGGACCCGTACATGCGTGGATGGTCCGCTTAAACGATAGTGGTTGTCAAACATGCACCTCATTGTCTATTTAGTCCTTGGCACAGCCGATGCTTGCTGTGTTGTATGTAATCACGAATTTGCTTGTATATGTACATGCAGATCATCTTGTATGTCTGCTTGAACGGTCCGACGGGCCGAGAGGGCAACGTGTTCCTTAACAGCCAGTGGCGCATCATTCAGAGCTGTAGCCCGGATCAAGTGTACCTGGTTTCTCGGAGTAGCGGCAAGTGCCTGGGTGTGGACGTAGGTGAGCGGTGGATGGGGTAGACCCCCGGCGGAGTAGTGGGATGAGGGAAGTGAGGGAAGCGACATCAGCAGCCACATTTGGATGATGATGTGTAGCACCTGTCTCAGTGGAATAATCGTGGACATACACTTTGTCCTACGTAGCTCACTGCAGACGTATATGAACACCGCCGTACTTACATACATACACACGCAGGTGCAGCAGTAGGCTCCTCAGCTGCCGCACTTCCTCTCCAGCAGTGGGATTGCGACTGGAGTGCCAACCAGCGCTTCGTTATCTCAAGTGCACCAGGCAATGCCACGTACGTCACATCAGCGCCTACCCAGTTCAATTGCGGTGCGTGATGGTCATTTGTTACTAGTCGAATGGTGAATTGCTAGCGGGTATGCATTGATGATTATCTTTATTTGTGAGAAATGTACATGTATGTACGTATGTACCTCCTAACTTGACAATCAACATCTTTTGTCAGCAGCACGCAGGTCTCTGGGTAGTAGTAGTGCGACATAGACAAGACTCGGAAACGTTGCAGAACTCCAGGGCTAGCCTCGCCGGGAAGAACCCCCCCATCCCATTCATAAGTCCCATGAATACACCTGCCTCTGTTGGCTGCAACACAGTTTGGAAAGGTTTGCACCTGCGTTCTGATAGCAGGCACATGGTCACTGCATGGGCATCACACGGGTGTCACACTTATTAGCTAGGCGGGACACATGCGGCACACAGGCATGCATGCACATATGTAGGTGTGCACACATACCCAAGCGCCTCTCGAGATCCTGACTGTAACACCTGACTATCAGTGTATGTGTGGAAGGACCGTCAGAGTGTCAGTTGGATACAGGGTAGTCCAATAATGTAGAGATGGATCCTCAACCGCTTGGCGTCTGGTAATAACACCTGCCCTACCCATGGCCCCCTTAATCCCTAACGTCCACCCTGCCTGTCTATTTGCTCACCCTCCGGCAGTACCGCCATCTTCACCATCGCCGCCCCGTCCACCGAGTTTACCATCGCCGCCTCCACCACCAACCTTCTGCCAGCAGATCCCGGGCTATACCTCTACGCCAGACAGTGACCATGGTGGAGACGATCTTGGCTATTATGGCAAGAATGCACCTGCTGCCTGCAACAGCAACCCTAACTGTGTAGCCTTCAACTCGTACGGCTTGATCAAGTCGGGCTCCACTCCGCTGAGGTCATCCGCGGGGTCCTGCTTTTATGTCAAAGTACCTCGTGAGTGGTATTTATTTGTCCTTCCCCCATTATCTAGTGATGCGCGTGTGTGTGATATCCTTTCTTATCAGAAAAGGACTCGCAAGCTGATGGCACAGGCCAGCACCAGCCAGGATAAATACCCAGGATATTACAGTGTGGCACACGATTATTCCCTGCATTACTGGCAGATCAAACTTAGATTCACTGCAGGCTGGCTATCTTAGGGGGTGTTTCCACTTTATTAAAAGTCGCGGATAAGGTTTAATCCGTCGCATATGAAAACATCGCGCGGATTAGGACGGATTAGGCGGATTAAGGATGGCGCGATTAGTTAGGTTGGCGAGATCTACGCCCGCATTCGCGCGTTTCGCATATTAAATATAGATTAGTATGTTATCAATTGCGCACATTATTCCTATAGTAAAAGCTAAAACTCGGTGGAAAATGTTTGCTGCCTGGCGGCCACCAAGTATCAGATTAACATGTTTACAACAGCTCATTAAATAAAAAACCTGATTGACAGCTTGGAAGGGTATCCTTTATAAAAGCTGTAGGTGTACCTAGTTTTGTGGAAGCTTTGCGCTTCTTGTTCGGCATTATGCACCACACCGTAGCTGTCGTTCAAAGGGTGCTGCAAGGCCTTTATATTGATGCTCGATAGTCTTTTTAATGTCCAGCACTACTCGTTCTTGCATTTTATGCACGGAATGGCATATGTTGTACTTCAATTCGTTCCTTAGTCCAGACGTATAAAACATTCCTCGTAGATTACCTGCGGATTGGCGCGGATTAAAAATACCTTCATCTGTGACTTTTAATCCAAGAGGAAACACCCACTATATCTCTTGTGAAAATCTGGTAAAATTTATGATATTGTTTAAATTAAATGGCATGAGCATGCCGCGTCCCCAATATTCCCGCTGCCAAGCTGGCACCGCCGCCTCTCCTTGCAGTGATACCACCCAGGGTCACCACAGTAGTGCGGAGTAGCACATTCTGACGACCACGGATACGCACTGTGAAATATATTTCAGCAGGCCTTGTTTGCTTACATCTCTTAATTATGTTTGGAAATGTTTGCACCTGCGTTCTAATAGCAGGCACATGGTCACTGCATGGGCATCACACGGGTGTCACACTTATTAGCTAGGCGGGACACATGCGGCACACAGGCATGCATGCGCATATGTAGGTGTGCACACATACCCAAGCGCCTCTGTGAGATCCTGACTGTAACACCTGACTATCAGTGAATGTGTGGAAGGACCGTCAGAGTGTCAGTTGGATACAGGGTAGTCCAATAATGTAGAGATGGATCCTCAACCGCTTGGTGTCTGGCAATAACACCTGCCCTACCCGTGCCCCCCTTAATCCCTAACACCCACCCTGCCTGTCTGTTTGCTCGCCCTCCGGCAGTACCGCCATCTTCACCATCGCCCCCCCGTCCACCGAGTTTACCATCGCCGCCTCCACCACCATCGCCGCCTCCATTACCATCGCCGCCTCCACCACCACCGCCGCCTACACCACCATCGCCGCCTCCACCACCACCGCCGCCTACACCACCATCGCCGCCTCCACCACCACCGCCGCCTACACCACCATCGCCGCCTCCACCACCACCGCCGCCTACACCACCATCGCCGCCTCCACCACCACCACCACCCCTTCCAGCAGTCTGCAGGGAGTACCTGGGGTTCACCGCCATTGCGGACGTCGACCACGAAGGAGATAACATGGACTCTGTCTCCCCGTACTACTGGTGGTACTGTCTCGTGGACGCTGGCTGTGCCGCCTTCAATAGTGACGGAGTCAGGAAGTCGAAATCATTGCCGCTGAGGTCGGCCGTGGGGTCCTGCTTGTACGTCAAGACCTCTGCTCGTGAGTTATTCTGTTGTATCACGTCTTATCGCAGGAAAAGAACCGATCGGCGGATGAGAGATCCCGTGATACCCAGGGTACTACAGATTCTCATGTATCCACTAGTACTTATATATGTATAGAAGTTATAGATAGGGCTTATATACAATATTTCATATTGGCTGAGGTGCACATATGTATGAACAACGCTCAGCAGTAAGCAATGCTTGCGGGTTGTGTTCTTCAGGCATGCAGGGCTCATAGATATTACATACATACGGATTTTGCGGTTGTACTTCTATCTTATGATCCCCTTGTGGAGAAGACGACGTCATTTATTTGGGTCTTGGTTTATTGATGTCGCGGTACCGGTAATAACCGGTTATTACGACACCATGCGCATGCACCTGTGCAGGCGCATCGGTGATGATGATACTATTCACGAGTCAGGAATCTTTATCCACATAGTGGCACATTTCAGTGTACTTCAAAATACATACCTTCTACGAGATTAGTTGCACCTTACATATGGGATGGGTTTAAACCCCTCCCATAAGAAATTTCTTATGTAACGGGGTTGAGCAGTTCACAAATCGTGTATTTAATGATTTGATGCTGCTGCTGCACTTGCATGAATGCATGCATGCCGTATTTCATTGCTTACTTGCATATGCTGCTTCTGTTTCCCTCATCAGAATGTAAGGCCTACGCTGGCTTCTATGCATTCCCGGGCAAGGACCGCTTAGTGCGCCAGCATACGGGCATCGACGTGGCTCATTACGACGGCAACCCTGATGCCGCATATGCATACTGCAAGATGACGGACTCTTGCAAATCCTTCAACAGCTATGGTTGGGCGAAGAGCAGCGGCATGCCCATAACGCCCCATGACGACGGCATGTGTTTATATGTAAAGAGCAGCACGTTCATATCAAAAGGTACGTACATATGTGTGTGTGAGTACATGCATGAATGTGTGCGTTTGTCTTTGTTATTGTGAAGGAAAGACACACTGATGGTGGCGGGACGCATGTACATACAGAGTCTGTGTTTGGGTCCACCGCCTGTTGTTGCAAACCCACCATTCGTTTATAAACCAATAATTATTATATGTGCACTGCAAGTCGGCCGACTCGGCTCCTTGCTGCATTGGATACATACATGAACCTGGCTGCCTCTATTCGTTTCTTCATTGGACGCACACATGAACCTGGCGGCTTTCCTTCCAATGCTCTTAAAGGTCTAGGTTCGTTCGATCACCATCAGCCAATTCTAGCCAATAAATAAGGCACCATCACACATTCATCCTGCATGCACAGATACGCATGCAGGTAACACATATAATGCAGGAGCACACATGTTGCGCAATGGATACGCATGATCTGCTGGATGCCTGCTTCTGTAGTAGCTGGCCGCTGAAAAGGCCTCTCGAGATGCTGGTGGTCACGCTACGCGCGTATTTGTATAGCCGTACTGTGTACCAGCTACTACAGCTTCGTTCATGCAAAAGTAGTATTCTGCACGAACTTGCTAGCTACCCTTAGCCATGCAATATCTATCTCGCTTTTGCCAAACTTGACTTGGCGAGTTCACAGTGTGGTAACTCACACGCATGCAGGTGCGTGTGCGGATGGCAAGCTGGGCCAGTCGTTCCAGAGTGTACCTGGAAGCTTGTCAAGTGCCCTCAACAGACTTATCAACGACTACTGCTTCGGTTACACTGGCAGGGCCTGGTAAGGGTTACACCGAGTGTCTTGTTATTATGTAGAAGTTGTGTGGAATGAAACAAGCCGCATGTAAAGCTGCATGCATATACTACAAGCAAGTAAGGTGCACACACACCTCTATATATCGTTGCCGTCCAGCTGGCCCTACCGAGCAAGACAGGCACGTCTTCACTAGGTCGGGTGCCTGAGAGCAACCAAGTTAACACCCTCAATTGAGGTGGGTGCCCTGCCAACCACCCCCACGGGAGGAGCTCCATAATTATAAGCAGCTACGAAGGCAACGAGAGGAGATGAGAAATCAAGCCTCACGGAACCCAGTACAAGATACAGCACCGCCTATGCCGCCCATGTCAGCGCTCAGATGCCCCATTACCCCGGTGACCTACCCTGGACCCACTGGAATGATGACGGAGCCACAGGGCACGGGAATGCAGGCGGCGACAACGGCCCAGATACCTACACCAGCGGCTCTGGAGGTAGATGGCCCTGCCCTTCACCCCACAACCACCAACACCACCCCAAGACCCAAGAGGGAAAGGCAGCGGCACAGGACGCAGCGGGGCCAAGGAGCCCACTGGCAGCCGGGGCAGGACTGGCAACAGCGGGTCAGCCTCGCAGCCCAGCCCCAGCAGCAGCAGCTGAGCCCCTCCTGCTCAGCCCAACAACAGTAGCAGCGGCCCCAACCGGGGGGTAACATCGTGGAAGGTCCCTCGAGGACTACAGGCTGGATGCTGCAGGGAAAGAAAGGGAAAACACCTATACCCGACCCGCTCACAGCCCCTCAGGAGGCACAGAGGGAGGCAGCACTACAGAAGCCAACTGGGGGGCCAAAACCTGCAGTATGCCCGGAGGGGGGTGCCGAACGCCCATGCAGCAACCGTGTACAGCCAGGCAGCAATGTTGCCGCCATGGCACCCCGTGCCCAGTGGCAGCAGTGACAGGCCCAAGGGGAGTGGCCCAGGAGGCAGCGAAGGGCTCACCAGCAGTGGGGGAAGAGCTACGGGCTCAGCCAGCCCAGCCCCGGAATCGGGCAGGTGTTATATCACGACTTTTCAGAAAAGAACCGAACGGTGGATGCAGATGCCGTGACACGCCCAGAATACTACAGCAGGAGGGGAGGACTCAGGAGGTGGCCAGCCAGGACAGCTGGGACAGCCCAAGCAGCCCCGGTTTGGCTGAGCAGCCCCGGTTTGCGATCACCTTTGGAGCACCCCACACGGAAGCTCCCGCCCAACTGGTGGCTCCTCCGGATCCGCCGTGGAGGCCAGCAGTGGTACACGCCAGCCAAGCCAGCCACATACATGCAAACAGGGGATGGCCATTCCCCCCACCAGATCATCAGGCAGAACCCGGGTCAGTGGAGAACACGGCAATGAGGCCCCCCAAAACAGAGTTGGCTGCCCTCTTCACCCAGGTGAAGGCGATCCAGGTGGACATAACATGGGACACAACACGGCCTGTGACCAGGAGTACAGCGACAGCAGGCAAAACACTACTCACAAGCACGGCACAGGCGGAAACACAGCGCAGTCTGGACCTACGGGATCAAGTGCGGACTGATCACTTCAGCAAGCAGACCGCAGTGGCCAGGACAGTCCGCAGGCACAATGCAGAGCTAGCCCGGCAGGCCAAGGAGGTCTGTGAATCCAGGCACCAAGAAGCAGGCAAGCAGATACACACGGATATACAGCAGTCCATGCGGAACCGTCGGATGGCAGGCGCCAAAAAGGCCTCAAGGGGAAACACAGCAGTCGACAGCAAGTCGACATGGAGCAAGAGGTGGATGTAAGGCCGGTACCGGAGGCTACAGAGATGGAAGCCAGCAGCCCAGGTCCGTCCCAGACGGGCTCCAGCCTCATCCTCCAAGCTCCTGCAGTGACTCAGCCCGACACCGCGACCGAAGCCCCACCTGGAGAGGGATCCACCGTCACCCCTACCCAACGAGCCTAACATGTCAACGGCAGCCTATGAGGACCGCCAGCAGGGTGCCAACTCGGATTGCCACACACAATCTGCAAGGCATGACAGCGAAACACAACCCTAAAATGCGCGCTGCAGCCAAACTGTGATTCGTATACAGAGCAGTGGCCCTGTCTGCCGAGGGAGACAAGTTTGGATAAAGATGCGCACATGGACCGGTCCATGTGCGTCGTGTCCATCCCTTGGGTACCCAAGGGATGGACACGAGGCACTCAGTGCACAGAGAGGTCATATAATGCCCAACGAGTTAATATAATGCCAACCCTCCTCCTACATACATATATTTTACATAGTTTAGGCACTCCTGGTAAGGCACGACCATTGCACCCGGGCAATTCCGGGATCGAGACCTGTCAGGGTCGAAAACCCTTCTGATGGTGGATGGTAAATTTACCATCATAAAAATGTCCCACCTTAATGGACTGTGGTGATCTGGGATATAGTTAGCCTGCGAGCCGACCAGGAACGGAGTTGGGCCGTCGTTGATCTGACAGATTCCGTTGGATGCTGGTGGTGGGTGTGGAACCTGAGCAATCCACTGAGAAGTTGACTAGGGTGACTGGATGAGGGTGCCCCGAAATACCGGGGAAGGCAGGGTTTCGCAGGGTAGCTGCCACGGGTGAAGATATACCCCCTGCTTCACGCACATATTATATGTATATATTTGCCAGTAGCTGCCATCACTCGGTTGGCAGTTCAGGTAGGAGGCTGAACGATTTTCAGTAGGCCAACACCGAACTAACTGAACATTGTCAATGTCCATTTCCCTCTCCCTCTTGTCAATGTCCATTTCCCTCTCCCTCTTGTCAATGTCCATTTCCCTCTCCCTGCTTGCTTCGTTGCTCGCTCCATTGCACACATACCTTGCAGTGATGAGATCGATTTCACAGGAGAGTCAAGCTGGTACAAGGAACAGTTTTCTAATTTGCCTCCTCTCAGCAACAGGACCTGCAACACGAATCTGATGCTCCGCACAGCCCCTGGGCCACCCAAAGCATCTCAGCGCAGCACATTTACATGCAGCCCCAACCCGATCAGTGATGGTGTCTGTACCCTTGCGGCCAAGCTCGACACTTCATCCTCAGCAACTGTCACACAGGGAACCGGCTTTAATATGAAGTTCAGTGGAGGCTTGGTCACCAAGGTCTCTGTAGGCTCTGTGGAACACACAACTGAGACAACTGTCGATTATACCGAAAGGTGAGCAACCCATGGTTGTAACACAGCAAAGGCGTAACCCGAGATGCTCAGATTGGCCTTGCGTCGTTACAATGGTACGGAGCAGCAGCTTCCGAACTAACAGGACCCGTCACCAAGCAAGGCCAAGCAGAAGGCCAAGCAGATCTAGAATACCACAGATGGTACAATGGGCACATAATGGACATAAAAAAATTATGTGTGTCTAATGTCCGCATGGCGCGTGACTTCTGGGATATCCGTCTATCGATAATTACCACCAATGTAACTCGCCTCAGTAATAATGAGGCAGGGGTGTGCTGGAGGGCATGCAGTGGTGTGGATGCCAGTTTTTTGAATTGATCCATTCCTGACTTCCTTTGTAGAGCAGTTGAGCACCCATCTAAATTCGTCAGCAGCAGCAGGAGAGCTTGTTACTGGTATACTCTATGACAAGGGTTGTGGCAGAGAACTACAGCCAGGGCCACACGCCCCCATCCCTAAATGTAGTAGTTGTCGTACAGTACGGCACACACTCCTAATACATATACACGCTAAAGCGCATTCGATACTCCCAGCATCTTGAGAAGCCTTTTTAGCGGCCAGCTACTGCACGAATGCAGCTGGTGAATTGCTTGCTTACCTGGGGCATGGCCCATCCCACATGTATATGCAGCAGCAGTGAGTAACTATGTATGTTCGTACCTTGTGAAATGAATGGTGAACTCTGTCGTGGACCCGTTCCTATGTATGTATGTATGTATGTATGCCCGGTGCCTGCAGTGTCTCAGAGCAGACTTCAAACGCAAGAATCATCGGTCAAGCCATGGTAAGTTCTGGCGACAATAACAACTTCATTTGCTTAAGTCGGTTGCACGCGTACCTAGGTACCAAACAATTAATATCACATAACACCATCTGGATCTAATGCAAGTGAGCTGGCCGGGATTGCTAACATGTTGTACTACAATACAACCTATTGCTGCTGTTTATGCATGTTATTTTGCTTGCATTCTGCTCTCTTGATGACAGGGGGCGACTGTTTCTGTCTCCACAAAACCAGGCGATAGACAATGCTACGTATTGAATGTCGCCATGGGTCGTGCTGCCACGGTCGGCACGTTTGGTAAGTAACTTCAATTTGGCCAAACATGCATGCGTGAATATGCACGTTATACTTGTAATAATCATGTTATAATCATTATAATTTATATATTATGATTATTATAAAGCTTTTTATTATTATCATTCTGCAATACACTGCAGTATCATGAATGGAATCGTCTCATCATCCATGTGCACATGTGCTTGCTCACGATAACGTCGTGCCTTATGTGGTGCGGGGCCCAACCTCTGGCGTGTGTTAGGGACCGAGTGTTATCTACTGGCGGCTGCAGGCAAGCTATGCTTGTACCCTCCCTGGCACCAGTACTTTGATGTCGAAGATTTCCCTTTCTCTGGCCTCACACAGCCTGGCTTTGACTCCTTGGTTTGTCGTAAATCACATTGTGCCCCTATCAACTCAGATAACTACTGCTACAGCAAACATGATTAAATTCTAGCTAATAGATATGTAGGTTGTAACACCCACCAGCACCCTATACTCCGGTCGTGGCAATGCCCACCTTACTCGGTCGTGGCACATAATTTGTACGCTTCAGATGTTTTGGCGCGACAATAGGATGTATAGATGGCACAGTCTCGTGATCCATCCTCTAGTAGCTGGTACACAGTACGGCACACATAACCTCTACAAATACGCGCTAAGCGCGACCACCAGCATCGTGAGAGGCCTTTTCAGCGGCCAGCTACTACACCTCCCCTCAGACCATCAGCAGAGCGTAGGAGCCAAAGTCCCATCTCCGTTGTTACAGGAGGTAGGGCTTTCTGACCACATTTGATGAAATGCTTTCCTCTGCTCCTGTCTGCTTTGCCCCCGCCGCTCCTGCATGCTGTAGATGTTAACTTGGAGTTTGATGGTGGCGTGGGCACACGGCAGGGGAACGTGTACTACGTATTGTTATCGGACATTGTTAACTACGCTAAGTCCAAGGGCTGGCCCAGTGCGGCCGGGTTCGAAGTCTTCGGCAGTACAGTGCGAGTCACCAAACCGATTACGATCAACATGGACGTGCCCGTATACTCTTATGTCAATCCTCAGCAGTACGACCTCGACAACAGGTTGTGCTCCTCTTCTACCATGTCCTTAGCCCAAACGTCAAACCCTAATCCTGTCAGGTTGCTAGCTGCTGACCATGCCATCGATACAGCTGATGATGACACCACAAGCATGATGATGTCGACATCAGTGATGAGAGAATCCGACTCAGATCCGCTTGATTCGTCCTCAACGCTCAATATCACAGCATGGGGGCACCAGTCCGCCACACGCACACTACTCGACTCACAGGGCACGTCCTCATTGAAGTCAACGGTGCCAGCAGAGCTGATGAAGCGGCTGGAAGCCCTGGCACAGGCCTACTGCAAAGCCCAGACCAGAAGGGACTCGTGTGAAGGGGACTATTGTGATGAGGACTCGTGTGAGGTCGACTGGGACGGAACCACCGACTGGTGGCGCACCTTCTTCATCACACTACCACGGGCAGAGTTTTCCACCGGGCTGGATGCTCCTGTGTGGAACTGGACTGCGTCGACGCTCCAAAACCAAACATCTGCGCTGGTGGTGTGTCCCTACAGGCCGTTCAGCTACAGATGCCAGATTGATGCACAAGTAGGTTATGATGATACACACATATGCTGCAGGCATGAGCTGCATCCGCTAGCTAGTATGCACACATACATGGCCTCCGTACATCTCCACACACTATTGTTGCATTCGCATCACATGGTGCAATCAACGGCAAAGATGATGAGACTCTATTGTTAGTTTTCTTACGGTCTGCGGAACCATGGAGGCGGTGGAGGTGAACCTTGATGGTCATACCTGGCTGCATCCCACATGGCACCTGTTGTATCACATCTTATCACAGGAAAAGAACCGATCAGCGGATGTCAATCCCGTGATACCCAGGATATTACAGCACCCCTCATGGCTCACTTAGTTGGATGGAAAAAAAGCCACATGTACACATTCAGTGTAAGGTCTCCAGAGCGAGAATCCACATTAACATCAATGGATTGGGATAATAACATGCATACATGTGTGCATGTTGAAGATACACAGCACTGGATAATATTGCCTGCTTGCCTGTTCAGTGCGTGCTGATTGTCTTTCAGTGTGGTGTATACTTGCGATGCGATGATCTGTTTGGTGAACGATGTATATGTATATCTTTAACCCATTCATGCATGTTGTTCATGCGGCCTGTTCGAGCAGTCCTACCAGTCATCGGTGATCACCAGGGCTCGAACGACATCCAACAGCTGGGGTATGTCACACAAGGTGGGGGCGTGCCTGCTTGATAAACCCCTTGGATGAGAGCATGCATGCATACTTGCTTGTGACCACCGTGCTAGGTTGTTCAGCTCACAGGGGCGACATTGGCACGTACAAAAGATCCTTCGTTAGGTGTACGTACGTCCGTTGCTTCTGATGTTCATTGTTGCTTTTGCTGCATTCATTCGTGGCAGTGCTTTTACTTGGTGATGTGGGCTGGGCCGCAGTGCAAAACGCCTTGCTTGCTTGGGGGCCCTGGGCCTGTACGTATGTAGGGTTAGTTGCACAGGTCCATGCCTGTCTGTCTGTATGTCGCCATACCGCCCGCATGTCCTCGTACATAGCCAAGTCGCATGCGAACATGTATAACCCCCAAATAAATGCCCAAATTAAAGCAAATATTGCAAGCCCTTCACATAATCCTGTATTGGATGGCATATCAATGAGTCATCGTACAAGTAGGGGTCGTACAAGTAGAAACAATATACGGCTTGCCAGCAGCAGGCCAAGGAATCTCAAAATCCCTATGTCAATCCGCAATCTTCACCTCTGTACGTGCAACAAGTTGATTGGCCACTACAAAATACATGTGCCGCGGCCATATTGAACAATGATCATGCATGGTGACTTGCTCAATCGAACACATTTGGCTGAGCTGAATGGGTCTATCTACATGCAGTACTGCATGCATGTAAAATGCCTAGCTGGGCAACAATCATTTTCCAGTTCTCATCACCCTGCTGCTGCTGCTGCTATTTCCCTGTGTGTCGCAGGAAACGTTGACGTCAGGATTTAAAATTGAATCGCTTGGTATAGAAGGTCGAGCTGGTATCACTTTCTCTTTTTCGCTCAGCTGGTCTTGGTCCCAGGGTACGTGCGGTTTTACCCTAAAACTTTAAAACCCGAACATATATTTGTGGCCTAGTGTACGAACCTTAACAGGCCTCTTAAGACTTGGCAAAATATACATCTCGATTGATAAATGGCCATTATTTATTGTTTGACATGTGCAGACATGCGGCCATGTACAGACGTACCCTCATGCGTGCATGTGCACCCTTTGATACCCGTGTATACATACATACGTTCATACTTCCCTGCTGGCATCCATGCATGCATGCAGGCACTGCCACTGGGAGAACCGAGACGGCGACCACTGTTAATGCCGCATCCGTCCAGATGAACCCTGTGACCAACCCCACCCAGAAGTGCGCGCACCTAAGGACTGACATGAAGGTGGCAAACGTGGTGGGCACCCAGATGGCTTGGATGACCATACAGGGATTTGTCGGCTTCCACCACGGAGATAGCAGGTACGAGGAACGAAGCCTGTGTATGCTCATCATCATGCAAGATGTAAGTAGCCCCATTATAATTTGTTTTTTCGTCAACTTATTTCATTGAATTTTACAGGGTGTGGAAGCTTTGGATAGACAGTTCACCACACTACTACCGTGCCCAGTGAGTACTGAAAAATGATACAAGAACCTTCACGATAATGACGGATTGATGTTGTCTTCTCTTGTTCTGTTCTGTGAAGAAGTGAATCGATGTGTGAATAGGGTATGATGCCCAATTACTAGCTTATTATGAATGCTCGTGCATTGTTGGCACACGCAAGCGTTTGTGTCTTCTACATTGTTGCTTAAGCAGGTGGCATTTGCATGTGCTTCTGCGTGCGTTTGTGTTTCTCTTTGTTTGTATGTTTTATATATAACATCATGTTATTTTGCTTGCTTTGCAGGGAGTTCTCATCGCTTATCAATGATGCAAAGTCTTTAGGTGTCGAGGAGGCCGATGATTGGACGATAGAAGGTGGGCTGGCAAGGATCCAGGTGCCCATTGATCTGGCGGTGTTAACAGGCGCGAGCGGCTCCAGCAGTGCAGTCTACTACGATGCTGGCAGCCCAGAGTGCAACATGCCAGAGCCGGTGTAGGGAAGCATCTCGCTAGCTTTATTCATTTCTGGGTTACTGTACGTTACTCTTTGTCTCGGTGGTGGTGTATGTGTGGTCGTGCGTGTAATTTCTGTGTAGCATCGTGATGAGGTTTGCGTGTGGGCGGGGAAGAGATGTGCGTATGTACGGACTGCCTCACACCCAGTGTTTTTTTTAAGTAATATATACCTTAAACGGAATAAACAGGCCATTTTGGCCTTTGGAAATACGGAATGAATTGAGGCCGATCCGTGCATTTTCATTCCTCCAGCCAAAAACGTCCATTGCTGCCAGATTGCTCCGTAGTGTGCAGAACTTGGTATTATCAATCATAGAATAGATATGAGGGCGATCCATTTCAGGCGCCCAACCCGAGCGCTCGCAGTGCCAAGCGGGCTCAGACACAGCGCATCCGCAAGGGCCAGAGCGACGGTGCATGGCTGGACAGCAGCAGCAGGGGCCGGTACATGATGAACCGGTAGAGTCCTAGCGTGCTGTGGTTTGCAGTGGCGGGTGACGGCCTGTGATTTGCTATGCGGTTGCTTGCTTTGGGCCTTTGCTTGGTCGGATTTACTTATTGCTCACCAACAGTGCCAGAACTAACTATGCATGTGCATGAAGAGTGCGCACATGAACGAAAACGCGCCAACTCAGTGCGTGCCTCTTGGTCTGTGAGGGGAGTTGTAACTAATCGGGGGGGTCTGGGGGGGGCGTAGCCCCCCCCAGTGCCCCACACTTACGGAATAAATTACGGCGACCCTAGCAACTTTGTACTTAGGTTGGAATAAATTGAGACCCGCCCTAAATGAAAAAAGAATCACTGCTCACACCACGGGTGTCCGGAGCTGAAACATGCCTGCATGACATGTACACTTACTCAGGTAAGAAAGCAGCCATATGTACATAGATGATGGTATGCAGATATGCCATGCGGGGTTTGCATTTATGTTCGATTTTCTATTCAACTATTTGTCAGGATACCCTCTGGGGGCTGGACCCCATGCTGGCCTGTATGTAGCACACCCTGTAGGGCCCTGCCTGTAGGATTGCCCATATCTGTCCGTTTGTAACATTGAAAGCTAAATATCACCCTGCTGAAAAGCAATACTGAAAGCCTCAAACATCCTATATTGCAATGCATCTTGTCTCTCGCTGTCGCTGACAAAAATCATATGAGCGCAAACAATTGCAAGCTCGGCAGTCTGCAAAGGTGCACATGAACATATACACTGTGGTTAAGCAGATCGGGGTCCTCTTGATGGGTACACCGGCGGTGTGTGACATGAATAAGGTGACGTGCCTCATGAAGTGCCTCAATGTGAGAAGGCTGCCGAGTACCTCATCCTGCGGTGGGCCTAAGTGCAATTATAAAGTACATTCAGAGCGGCATGGGGTTTTCAGGTTTTAAAGGGGTTTAAGGGTTTTGTCAGGGTTTTAGGGTAAAAACCTACGTGCTTTGGGACCAAGACCAGCTGACCGACGCAGGGAAAGTGATACCGCGCTATCGCGCTTCACCCGGATATAAAGACTCAAATCCCCCCCTGGAGAGGCTCTGGCAGGTGTGCCACACCTACTTAGCTATACAGTGTATAGCTAAGTCTGGGGGAAAAGGCCATAGCTAAACCGAGCCTGTCCTAATCTGCAATCCAAGTACGAACATAAGGTAAGTGTAATAAATTAGTGTGGTCCATCTGGCTTTCTGGCTGGTATTTAAGCAGCCTCTCGCACAATGTGTCCGGTCGTACTGTGCCGAATAAAACATCCGTACTAGACGCGAAAGCCAGGCGCGAAATTTATCGTGCGGATGCGCGCGTTCAATTCTCAAAATGCGCCTGTAAAAGTGTATGTAATTTTTTTGGCGAAAGGCCGCTCATCAGGGCATGTTGGCCGCAGTCACAAGCGGCATGCATCTCGGACTTTTGGCTGGCTGCTTAGCCTGAGCCGAATAAGATATGAAAAGATATGAAAGCATACAACGTAGCTTGCAAGACTGGGCTCGTGAAACGCCTGCTTTCTGTAGCGCAGCGCATACAGCACCTTGTTCCGACTAAAGTCAAGTTACACTCTTACGAAAATAATTATAACAAACGCACAATTAGGTAAAGATAAAAATCGCGAAAGTCGTTCAGAACCTTGCAAGGGCGTTTTGTCAGGCATGTCGCCCTCGTGTATCTCCGCCGTCACGTTGTACAAGAACGCTGCACGGGCATGGAGGGCGGGAGGGTGGATGTGAGGTTGGCGGGATGGCGGGGCGGAAGTGGAGGCATGCAGGGGCGGGGTGTGACAGATACGGACCCTGTGGCCACATGGCCGGGCAGCTGGAAAGCGGGCATGGGGGACGGCAGCTGGCGCAAGCGAGCAATGGGCAGCAAGGGCGCTCGCATAGCCCACACAGCAACTGACACTTGACGCTTGACGGATAGGGTCCCACCATTTCAGCGCTAGCCTTCTGGACGTTGAGCAGTGCTGTTGTATTTGGGCACTGTCGCACTTAGGGTTTCATTCACGGTGCATACATGTCCGACCTTAACTCGTGTGAAAACGGCGGCTGCTGCCCATACAGACAGCAGCGCTTGGGATGGTCTATTGTGTGAGCGTTCGGGGTTAGGGGGGGGCCCGCTGTGCTCCTTTCTATGTCCGCTCGTCACATCATCGCGGGCAAGTTGGTAGTGTGCAACTTCACCCATCATGTTGCCTGTTCTGGCATGGCCATCCACGCGCGACAGGAAACTTGAACCTAGGCCTTATTCTTCGTTCCTACATCATAGCAAAGGACCGACGCAACGTGTACTGTACATGCACTGTTGCTGTGGTGCTGTTCTTGTTCTTGTTGTTGTTGCTGTTGTTCTTGTATACACGCACGACGACATGACTGCATGTACATTGCGCCGTGCGCCAAACGCCCTGTAACCAGCTTCGACTAATCTCACATTCCATTATGCCACTGCACTTTCCACTCCAGCCTGGCCCCAATCTGTTCCTCGCAAACGTACTTGGGCACCTTCCTTTCCAACACCATATGGGCTTTAGAAACGCGGGCAGCTGCTTCACAAGGCCCCCCCCAGTGTTTAAGCAGCCCCTCGCACAAATGTGTCCGGTCGTACTTCGCGAATAAAGCCTAAGTACATCTCGTCCCAAAAACGCCAGGAGCGAATTTCACCGCGCGGATGCGCGCTTGCGATTCTCAAAATACGCCTGTACAAGTGTATATAAATTTTCTTGGCGGATGAAGACCAGGTGCGCCAGCGCGTTGCGCAGGGGTCATGTTGGCCATAGTCGCACGCGGCATGCAGGCTGGACTATTGCGTGGATGCTTTGCAGTAACTGAAAGCACCGAAAGCCTACGTCGTAGCTTGCAACACTGGGCTCGTGAAACTGCCGCGGAAGATGAAGCGCTGGCGAAGAGGCAGCTGTATGCAGCACCTTCTTCAGAGTAAAGTCAAATTACAAAGTTGCGCAAAGTATAACATATATAAACTTAATTATAAATAAGAACAGATAAGACGTTTAGAGCCTTGTCGGTGACATGGACGCCGCTGTTGGCTTGGAACAGCTATTTGCTGTGCATAGGGACGTGCCTGCGTTAGCCGTGTTGCAACAGCTCAGGATGGATTCCAGCCAGCAACAGCCTCAAGAGCTGCTGCACAACCACCGGGAATGTCTTCAGTTGGGCACGTGTAGTTTTGGTCGGCGGGGTCGAGCAACGTACGCAATGCGCACAGAAACCAAGGTGCAGCGTTCTATAACATCGCCAACATATCCGGTTCGCGGTGGCAGGTTTGCCGAGCTCGAAATGAAGGGGGGGTCGCATCTCACCATTCAACTAAGCATGCATGTGCTCGGTTGTATGCTCGGTAGCGTGCAGTTTACCCCTATCAGGATGTTTGTTTGCATATCCCTCCAAGCGAGAGGGCTTGCACCTATGCTGATGTTCGTTCCAAGAAGTGAACTGAGGACTGATGCTACGGTGAAAGATTTGCACGTAAATTCGCCCGTGCAATAAAACGCCCTGTAACTCGCTTACGCTAATCTCACATTCCATTATGCCACTGCACTTTCCTCTCCAGCCTGGCCACATTCTCTTCCTCGCAAACGTACTTGGGCACCTTACAATCCAACACCATACATGCTTTAGAAACGCGGGCAGCTGCTTCACAAGGACCCCCCTATTTAAGTTTGGGCCGCGCCATAGCACCTGGAGATCTCCTCTAAAGGCCCTGGCAGGTGTGTACAGCTAAGTCCTCGGGAAGCCCATACGTACACAAAGCATTATATAAATATAAATTAATAGAATAACGATGCCTGATTATACACCGTGACTTGGACTCGACCTGACCTGAGGCAGCGAGGCTCCTTCCGACCTGAGGCATCTCCCCGGGATCCACAGGTTCACACCTAACTTAACTTGCGCGCTCCTCAGACTTGAATTCGAGTGCATACACCGTGTCGCACGTGTTGCGATACGTAGGAAAATCTGCAGTGCTTGGGCACGGCGTGCGTAATCGAAAAGATCGTCGTCATTGAACGTTCCTGATTAACTGCTGCTATCCGCACGTGCGTGCTCAGGAGCCGCAACATCAAAATTCCCTTTACATGTCACAATGGGGATGCGGGTGCAGGTGCAGGGCGGTAAACGACCTACCCCTTGTTGTGGTACCCTAGGGAGACCAACTTGTATCTACAAACGTACCTACAACTACTACTCCGTGCAAACTCGCAAGGGGGGATAAGAGCTACGCCCCCTTCTCCGGCTATGCTGTTTACTCAAACTTGTCGCTTTTACACAGCTGTGACCATCAAACAGGTTGATTGCCTACATTTGCTACAATACCTCACCTCCTTAGCGATTACCAGAGATCTCCCCCCCCCATGAACCCCCACGCGACGAAGCGCTGCTGCAGTGGTGCCTGCAGTCTCGGTGGAAGTGCACCGTACAGCATTACGGTACGGGCAGCAAGCGACCGCATGGCATCGTCGAATTAACACAGTATACAGTTTCGGAGCACCTCATATGGTCCGCAACCGCATACAGCAAATTCAGTTTTCGGTTGCAGCGGAAACAGCACCGGCGATCTGGCCATCTGACCCGCAGGTAGCACCCCATATCCCCGCAGACCTAGCGGCGCCGCAGGATGAAACTCGCCCTGCCTGGATAACGTGATGCGCGGCACTAGTGCTGGTGTTGGCGACCATCTGTTACATGGGGTGTTAGGTTAAGAATCCCTCGTAGGGGGGAGTGTGAAAGCTTTCAACATAACAGAGAACACACACACACACACACACACACACACACACGGGGCGTACACACACGGCGGGCTCCCAATGCGACAGCTCCTCCCCTTCCTTCAAGAGGGGTAGGCGCTTTGGGGCTCACTCCGCAATCTGCAGATAGCATGCAGGTGTCAGGAATGCAGCCTGACAGGCTTACAGCTAAAAGCCCGCCGGTGACCCCCCAACCGCCCTCACATACATACACAGCGGTCAAGTCCGGGATGCGATACTCTATCCACATGTTATATACCTGGGTTAGATAGACCTCAACACATAGACCTCATCCCTGCCAGCTACGGCCCCCACCAAAACAGCCGCCATCTTCTTTTTCCCTCCCCCAACTTCCACTTCACACCTGCTCATGCGTCTTCACCCTAGTCGCCCTACTCAGCCACTACTTTAGCCATGCCCCAAATCGAAACCCCGAGCTCCTCCAGCTTTTTTGTTCTCTCGCTCGAACCCATTTCCGCATCCCCCCACTCTACCTTATGTAGCATCAGCATACGGCCCCAGATCGCGCAGACTACAGCTCCGCCAAGGCGGTGAATACTCCCTGCCGAGGCTGCCGCGACAAAGCAGCCCCGGCAGTTCCAAAGCCAAAGCCAAAGCCCAGTCCAGTCCAGGTTCGGGTCCCGAGCCTACCGGTCCCAAAAAACCGCGCATTGACCTGACCGACCCATGCATTTTTTAGTTAGGGCCCCTAAGAACCGCCCTCCCCCCCCCATGGGTCGATGCCATGCATGCAGATCCTGCTGCGTGTGTGTCTCTACGCGCACGTGTGTATGAGTGTATGTGTGGACACGTAAACGGCTGAGGGGGGTATCCGATAACGTCTATTTCCCTACCCATGCGCCGGCGTCCTAGCGCGCTGCTACTGCGAATCTCCGACCCGCGCCTCAGAAGCTTCCGCCCTGGTTTTGTCACCGACCGGCATATGAGCATGTTACTCATAATCGCACAAACAAACGTACGTACATAGGTAGGTAAGTAAGTATGTAGGTAGATGGCACACCGGTCCCAAAACCGTCGCAACAGCCACCTAGAAGTGGTCATAGTACAAACATCACGGGGCATCCAGGGGGAATCTGCGTACAGCACATGACGACGGTATATGCACTTCCCCTCACCCTCAATTACCGTCCGTGTGTCCAATGTTATATTGAAGCCTGCACGGCGCGCAGAGGCCTTCGCCTCCCTCAACACACACCCGGGGAGTGGGCTCCCCCCTCCCCTCCCCTCC